CCGTATTTAGAAGGACACTTGGCTTGGGGTAGTGTTCCCTCTAAGCTGAGTTAGTGTGAGCTAGCTCACAGTTTTTTAGACTCTGGCTCACACATTTTTGTCTTCGCTCAGGACGGATGGCTCCAGAGCAAACTAATTGATGCAGTAGCCAAATCGCTCGCTCACAACTTAAATGCCAGTAGCTCGCAGAGTAGAATTTTCGCTCACAAGACAGCTTAGAGGGAGCATCGTTAGAGACCACTCTGGCAGAGCTATGCAGCATGCTCCTATGTTTAAATGGCATTTAAAACCCCAGCCTTCACAGGTTGCCTCTGGGGAGAAAGGCAGGAGATACATAAATTAAGTGAATAAATAAATAAATAAACAAGTCTGAAATGCTGAAGTATTTGAAATGAATTTTAGTCCCTGAAGTTAGACAGATTCACGGAGGATAGGTCTGTCAGTGGCTCCCAGCCATGGTGCCTAAAGGGAAGCTCCACATTCAGAGGCACTAAACCTCTGGATACCAATGGCAGGAGGCAACACTAGGGGAAGGCCTCAGCCTTTATGCCCAGTTGTCAGACCTCCAGAGGAGCCACTGTGTGAGACAGGATGCTGGACTAGGTGGACCACCAGTCTCATCCAGCAGCGCTCTTCTTATAGAGAGCCAGTTTGGTGTAGTGGTTAGGAGTGCGGACTCTAATCTGGGAGAACCGGGTTTGATTCCCCATGCCTCCACATGCAGCTTCTAGTGTGACCTTGGGTCAGTCATAAGTTCTTTCAGAGCTGTTCTCTCAAGGGCAGTTCTCAAGAGAGTTCTCTCAGCCCCACCCACCTCACAGGGTGTCTGTCATGGGGAGGGGAAGGGAAAGGAGTTTGTAAGCCGCTCTGAGACTCCTTTGGGTAGTGAAGTGCGGGGTATAAATCCAATCTCCTCCTCTTCTTCTTCTTTTTCAGTATACCCTAAGAGGTATTCTGCAACTTCTGGAATTAAAAGTGACAGCTGCTCACTGAGTCAAAAATTCAGTAGGGCTTATATAGTCTGAAGTTTCTATAAAGACAATGGAGCAGATGCCCTTGGAAACTTCTGGCCATCTTGCACCAGACCCCAGCAGTGGAGTGGCCTGGGAGGTGTCTCTGCTGGGCTTGGCTGGGGTTCTGTGATAAGGTTTGTATCACTTTCTGAAATGTGCACCGGCTGGTCCATTGCTGTAGAAACCCTCAGAAGATTAAACAAATCTATTCTGAGCAGCAGGACAGAGTAGCTTTGTTAATGTCTGGCACCTCTTAACTGTCGTCCACGTTTTAGTCAATTTTGTGGGGATTTGTTGGGCATAAAGTATTATGGTGTGCTTTGGTTATCTTTTGCATTTCTGTCCTTTTCAACTGCTTGTCAAGATGCCTTGAACACGGTTTGACAGGAGGCAGGTGGCAATAAATATGAAAAAGTGCAAATAAATCAGCATCAGCCACTACACTGACTAATGAAATCCCTTTCTACTCTCCACTTTTCTGTATTTGAGCATCTGTGGGCTCCTCCCATGTTTTAAAACAACCCCTGTGGGGGCTCAGCATCTGGAGCATCTTATGGGCGGAGGGCTGCAGCCTCAACCTCAAAAAGTATAACTTTAGTCAGAGACGCGGGATCGCCTGCGGCAACCCACAAGGAACCCTGAGTTACAAAACAACAGCTCTGCTGCCGCACAGCGTGTGAACCAAACCGTTAAGCTTTTTAAAGGCTGCTTTTTCTCGGAATGAAAGAACGCAGCTCTTAACCATAGAATGAGATTAATTGTAACATCTCACAGGAGATACACTCTTAAAAAGAGAGGTCTACTTTTTCCCTGCCTCTCAATCATTGGTTTTTTGACACCACCCCAGGGATACTCATAAGAGGAACGACAAATAATAGCTCCTTATGTTCTTCCGTATGATCACATAAACAGTGGGGGAGGAGGAATCATATAGCCTGTGGGCTGCTCTGAGCCCACAAAGCAGCGCTCCCCCCCCCCCGGAACTTTTGACATACTGTTGGGAATCTCAGCTTTTCTGTCTCTCTTCTTTTACAGATCAAAATTTAGAAACGTGTTCCTCCCACTTGCAAGGATGTGCCACAAAACAAACAGAATCAGACTTGCTGCCTCCAGCTCGGATCTTTGTCTTCTTTTCCATGAGAAAGCCTTTTGAGGGTTTTGGAAGGTGGGCGTTTTCGCTGCAGTCCTTCCGTCTCTCAGGAAGTGCTGCCCAAACAGTGCCAAAGCCGTCTTAAGCAAGCTGTAAGACAGACAATGAAGAGAGAACAGAGAGAAGTGGGGAATAGATCTGCTGAAAGGAAGGTGGGGAGGACCCTCACGGCTGCTGCTGTGAAGCTGGACTGAGCCTTCCCATCCCTTCATACCTGGGCTTTGTGTTATAGAGGAACAAAGCAGCCCTTCGTCCCCTCCACCATGCAGCTGAGCATTGCCCTTGAATGCCTGAAATCATTCCAGGAATCCTTTTATCCAGTACAGTCTTATCCCAGCTCCTCCAAGGTGGCAAACACATGTCTCCTGTCCCCTGCTTATCCTTACAATAACCCTGTGAGGTGTGTTGGTTAGGATGGGAGACAGTGAATGGCCTAAGGTGAGTACATCCACAGCAAGGTCAGCTTTTGAACCTGAGTCTCCTGGTTCCTAGTCTGATACCTGAAGTACACTGGGACAAAATACGAGAGCAGTTGCACCTTAAAGACCAACAAAAATTTTTTTTCAGGGTATAAGCATTCATTGAAAAGTTGAAGGCAGTGGGAAAAGAGGAAGACCTAAAATGAGATGGATCGACTCCACAAAGGAAGCTACAGACTTCAGTTTGTAAGTACTGAGCAAGGGCTGCCAGCGACAGGCCCTTTTAGAGGTCATTCATTCATAGGGTCAGCACAGATCGGAAGCAACTTGACACACACACGAGCCTTATTGAGTCGAAGCTCCCTTTGTCAAACACCAAGGTGAGTGAGACTACATGAGCTTTGACTCACAAAAGCCTAAACTTTGGAAAATGTTGTTGGTGTTTAAGGTGCTACCAGTCTCAGCTTTTGTTCTACACCTGTAGACTAATGCAGCTGCCCGCTGACTGTACTGCCTTTCACGACACTGAAATTGTAGTCCACAAGGAGAAGGTGTTTGGCTCACAAAAGGAATTATCTGCCTGGGGAGGAGAGAGACATCCATGTCTCAACAGCAGGAAGAAACCTCTTGCCAACTCAGGGATGCATGAACCATCTGGATGCCCCCCCCCCCCTTTAAAAACCATCTCTGCTGCTCTGCTGCTGCCAAATTCCCTTCCCTGGGAAACTTCCTGGCTGCTCCCACACCTTCTCCTGCAGAGTCTTCCTTGGTGGTCTCCCATCCAAGCACTGACCCTGCTGAGCTCCTGAGATCTGACCTGATGGTGCTACACCGTGCCTCCTTCCCTCCCTCCAACATGGCTATCCCTCTGGAACTACTGTGCAATCATACAGCCCTTCAGCAGCTAATAGTAGACTAGGAAAAGCTCAGTTAAGAGAGCAGAATTTCAGCACAAGTTCCTGTTCTTATCTGTCTCTTTTAGTACTGTAGGTATCGGCAGACACGAAGCACTTAAAGGCAGCACTGTTAAAACAAGGGGTAGTTCTCATTGAGGTGGGCCCACCTAGGTCTGGGCTGTACCTCTTTGGGCTGCAAGTGAGGACTCGCCTCAAAATCCCCCAGACACAGCCATTTAGAGGAAGGTTAGGTATTAGGTTAGGATTCCAGTATTTGGTAGTCTATGTACAGGGAGCTTGTTTTGTATGGAGGAGCGTTGGATCCTGTGGGCTCCTGTCTGTGTGCTGAAATGGCAGAGGCCAGGCCTTATTAGGAAGAAGTCCACAAAGTCTATCCACTTCTTTTGGCTACTTTCACCCATCAGACAACGCCAGGCGAAATCACACTGCACTGTAGAGCACAACAAGGCTGAAATGAGAATTTAAATCTGCACAGGCGTAGAGCCCAAGTGCGGGACAGCGGAGAGACCACGAAGAAGAATGCTCTTTCCCCGAGAGTTCTCACCCCATCAGCTTTGCAGCAGAACGTTTATTTCAAATACACGACGGAAGGCATACACCACGCCACCAGTGCCCTTCACCGCCCCAAAAGTGAGCAGCATGTTCCGCCAAGTACAAAAATACACATTTATTTGGGAACATATACAATAGCAAAATTTTGATCAAGATATATTATACAATCTCAAAGCATTCTTTTAAGATAATGCATTACTTTCAATATATTATAATAAAGATTATTTCAAGGGTATGTAATAAAAATTACATAGGTTCAGCTTGCAAGAACGACGACGACGACGACAATAATAATAATACACAATGCCGTCTGACAGCATTATCGTTGAGAAACTGTTCACAACTGGAAACCAAAAATGTAACATCCCAATGGAGCACAGGAAGTGACACACACACACACACACAAAAAAAAACTTGGCGTTGTAAGTTATAGAAGGTTCAGGATATATGCTTCATTTAAAACTTTCTTCTTTTGCTGCAAGAGGAAAAAAACGACTGGAACTACGGAGTGGTTGCCTTGTAAAACACAGAAAGACATAAACCTTTTCCCTTGGAGGACAATATAAGGGACCATCAGCTTCGAAACAGGACTACAATACCATAGCTATGGAGCTCAGCCTGACCTCACACACTATATCCAAATCACCAACGGACACAAAACATAGATTTATAATGTTTAAAACATACAGGAGTGATTGAATAGCAAAGCACGCTCAAGTTGTGTGGAGCTGATAGTGCCTCTTGAAAGGTTTGACGTGGCCTTCCCGGAGACTAGTAAACGTCTTTGAATCCACAGAGTTGTCTCCGGGAAAAGTCATTCTGATCATCCCTCCAACAGCATGAGTTCCGTTAATGTCCCTGATGAGGTTATATCCTCCTGGGATAATCTCACCAAACAAAAACTATAAAAAACGAAGCTGAAATGCAATCCTTCGAGAGAGGCAGTTTCTCAGACGTAAGACTCCTCTGTGAAAAACTTCTGGTCAATCTCCTCAAACTTGGGATCGGCACACGGCTTTTTCATCCATTCCGTTTGGCCGGGCTCAGCCCCATCCTCCGATTTTGTACTTGGACTCGACCTAAACACTAGTTTCCCCTCGGCTTTTGTGAGTTCCGACGAGCCACAGAAGTCTCTTTTGGAGTCGGTGCTGGCAAATCTGGACTCCACACTTGACAAAAATGTATCATCCTTGGAATCTCCCGCTCCAGCCTCTGAGGAAATCACAGATTCATCGACGTCTCCCTTGGTCAAATGTTGATACTGACTGCTGAATGCAGCATCTGGCTTCAGTTTATGTTTGGCACTTGGGTTTGAACTGGACGGCTGTCTTTTATGAGAAGGGAAAACTGAAGAGCTTTCCTCCTCTTCCTCTTCTTTGCTTTGCTCAGCCAGAAGCTCCAAGGCCTTCAACCTCTTATCCTTGACTTCCACGGGACAAAAGGGAAGTCCACTGAGCTGCCCAGCTCCCTGAGAAGAAGTGCTCTCCTGGTTCAGTGGCGTGGCGTTAACACCTCCGGTCGCAACGGGGTTTTCTGTTCCCGGGCATTGCCCTTGATATAAATAAGACTCAGACACACCTGAGGGACATGTTTCTATCTCCACAGTTATCTGAGTAGAGCTCTTCCTTTTCTCTTCTTGCTTGGAGACCCTCTCCCTTTTCCGAAGAGTCCAGTTTTTCATGGTGGAAGCCCCGCTTTTTAGCCACGTGCTGGGATGGAGGGTGACGGCGCTTTTGTGAGGGGGCCACTCTAGGCTCTCTTTCTTAACGCTTCCCAGGTGGCTGCTGTGGCTGCTAGCAGTTTGGTTGGGGAAAGAGCCGGCCCCTGACCCAAGGTGGATACCTGAGAAAGGACTGATATCTGGGGAAAGTTCACCGCATTTCCTTGGAGGATGAAAAGCGCAGTCCAAAGGAGAGGAGGTCTCAGTCGGGGTGAACACCGAGTAGTCTGAAAACTGTGAAAAAGCACTGTCTAAAGAACTCATTGAAGACCCAGAAGGGGACGTACCAGGAGATGACAGACTAGAACAACTAGTTCTTGAACTAATATTCAACCTAAGCGGAGGGGGTGGCAGAAGGCGATTGGATGTGTCTTTCTTTTCAGTGCTGTGGCTTTCCGGAACATTCTTGCCCACATCGATCCCCATAACCAAACTCTGATTGATAAGCTTCTGGCCTTCCACTTGCAGTGAGCGAAGCTGCTTAAGACAGTCTTCATCCGTATGGGACAGGACAGCATCGCAGCTGGCTTTACGGACGGCGCTTTCGTGGAACCCGCTGACCGGTGTAAACTTGGAGGCGAGAAGGCCGATGGTGGGTTCAGAGCAGCGCCTGTGTCTCCTTGAACTTTTGAGGACATCTGAAAGGGCTGTCGATGAATATCCTGATGTGACGGAACATAGGGACTCATTCTCAGAATGCTCCCGGGATGGAGATTTGTGACGGAAGCCGGTAGAGATGGACACTGGCTGTGATTTGGTCGGCAGTTTGATCTGGGAGTCTTCTGTTTCTGGCGGGTCCAAATCGCAGTCACTCAGGGTCAAGACAGAGTCTCTGCTCCTGTTCTCTTGACCTCGTTTTTTGATTAGGTTGTTAAAGGAGGAGTCTGTGCAGTCGTTCAGCTCATTTTCCAAACTGTCGTAGGAGGAGTCATTCAGATGAAAAGAGGAGAGATCTGCAAGAATATGAAATAGGTGTTAGCACATCACAAAGCACTGTCTGTTTGCAGTGTCCAGTACATTTACACGCACAAATATCCCGTGAAGTAGGGCTCAGCTGAAAGACAGTGACTGGCTCTGGGACACTCAGCGCCAGACTATACAGGACTCTGGGCCTCGTGTCCTGTGAGCAAGTTCTGTGCACACTAGACAGTCTCTGCTGTAGATCTTCTTCTTCTGCCAGCACTTCTGTTTGCGCAAGATCGGTGCTTTTCAATGAGCCCTTGCACAAAAAGAAGAGCCAGTACAAAAGGAAGCATGCTGTACAGCAGAGATTATCTAGGCAAATGGAACTTAGTCATAAGATCTCAGCCTGAGACTCTGTGAATGGGCATTCTTCTCAGCAGTGTTTGTTAGTAAACTGCAGCCCCACTTCCCCAAAATCAAACTGGGACCATGGTGCAGAGGGAAGTCCCCTCTGCACTTTCCCTCTTGCCATTTTCAAAAATGGCCCTCCAAAGCTCTCCGTCCTGCCCAACCTTCACTCCCTGTGGCTACTGTTTGCCAATAAACAATGCTCAGGAGACAAAGAAAGAACCAGGAAGTAGAGCCAAAACACTGCAGCCACCTGCAAAGGGACAGGGACAACTAATGTCTTCACTCACAGAGGCAAAATGAGCCAGGAACTAGGTGCAGAGCAACACGAACTACAGAATATTACAAAACCAGCTGGGGTCACCCGTATTGGAGCACTTTTGCAGTGAGCAGAACTTCCCTATATGGTCAGCTGGTTGTCTATATTCATAAGAATGTTCAAGCTGCTGCTCTGGAACAGACCGGTGGTCCATCTGTTCCAGCATCCTGTTTCACACAGTGGCCACCCAGTTACCCTTGAAAGTCCTACAAAGTAGGCAGCAGTGGCCAAAAGCTCCTCCCCACACCCCCAGCACTGGCATCTACAGGGTTAAGCCATCACGGGTAATAGCCACCGATGGACCTACTCATCTTACATCCAGTTCACTGCATGATATTGTGACCCTGAACATACATTACAGTCACCACGGACAAGGCACCAAAACAGCCCTTGAAATCTGAAGCCAAAGAAGCCTCTTTTTTTTTCTTTTTTACCTGAACCATCTTCTCTGTTATCATTTTTGGGCACTATATCTGCAAAGATGGAAGCAACGTCCTCTCCAAAAATCCTGCAGCAGTTTTCAATCAGAAACTGGATAAGGACAGAAACCTGCAACCGACAACACACAACACGTTGCTCAGCTGGCCATAAAATTTACCATGGATTGGTCAGCAAATAAGATTTTTCACCAAGTCATTTGTTCCAAAGCAGCCGGTGACCCCCTCCCCTCCCCTGGATTTAAACCATGTCTCGTTTTTTAATTGTGAGGCTCTGTGCAGTGAAAGAAAATGCAGTTAGTTAAATGCCTCCCTTATACATTAAGGATAAGTCAATATGCAAAGTGCATATTGTGATGCACTTCTTAAGAAAGAATGGGCCTCCCCTTCTAGTCCCTGCTGTTTCCTTGGCAGTGAGCAGGCTCCTTCCACAGCGCCTTCCTCTTGCCTGCCTCCTGTCAGCTGTGCGCGATCCCAGCTCAGTGCCAGTTCTTTCCCTCCCACACAAACCCTCCTAGTGCAACCTGTCTGTTCTAGGCTGCTGCCCAAGTCAGGACTCAAGTCTGTCCCTGCAAGATTTGGGGGGGGGGGAGCGGAGCATCTGACTGACTTCATTCTCTGGCATATAGACAAAACCCTGCCTGGTATCACCTTTAAATTAACACTGTAAAATTAAATAAAGTATCTCAAAATTAAACACAGGATCTACCACAGGCTTAAGACCAATTTCATTGTCAGAATCAAGTGGAAAAGGGGATGGGGAGGGAATATACCTTTCAGGCTGTAGGTGGGGTGGGTCACATTTGGATATCCTCCACAAATAAAATTCCTTCACATAGCATGTCAGAGGGAAGGGTAAATTGAGTCCTTGTCGCCAATAAAATGAGCTTTCCGGTTGCAAGGAGGTCATTCTGCGGGAGAGTATTCAGACACGCCAACCCCACACTTGGTGTAGCCAGGGGTCGTTTGGGGCTGGAGCACACCGGAGCCCCAGTGGCGGCAAGCCCCACCCCCAGCTCCTTCAGTTTAGAGTTGCGCTGCAGTGGCAGCGCGATCTCTCCATTGTATTAAACCCCTTCTCCCTGGAGTCGCGCCTTGGCTCCCAGTGCCTCATAGAATAGAATGGTGGGATCACGCTGCTTCTGCAGCACAACTCCAGAGAGGAGGGATTTAAGTTTAAACCCCTTTTCTCTTCGCCCCCCCCCCCTTGGCTGGAGAAGCGGGGGGGGGCATCAACAAAAGCCTCCCCTTCCCCAGACAGGCTGGGGGGGGAGTGAAGAGAGAAGGGGTTTAAACTTTAAACCCCTTCTCTCTTTGCTCCCCCCCCACCGCCTTGACAGGCCGGCTGGGGAAGCAAAAGGGGGGGGCATCTTCAAAAGCCTCCCCTTCCCCAGCTGGCCTCCCCCTCCCCCTTTT